CGTGCCACCGAGATGCCAGCTGCGCGTCGGCGTTCACAGGGCCGAGCGGAGGAGGTGGAGGGGGGCAAGAGAACCGAGCAGCGTGGACGGTGCCCTAGGAGCGGAGGGACAGGAGCTGGGGATTCAGACACAGCTGCCCGTAAGACCGGTGGGCAACGAGGGCTGACTGCCCCGCGCAGGGGACTCTACCCAGCACCCTGTAACAGCATATAATGGAGAATAACCTGAAACAGACAGACAACTGAAGCACTCTGCCCTGTACCTAAACCAAGGCAACGTTTTAAACCTACACTGTGTGCCGTGCTTAGTCACACCGGGCTCCTCCGTCCGTGAGGACTCTCCAGGCAAGAATACTGGAAGGGATGGCCATGCCCACCCCAGGGGATCTTCCCAACCCAGGGATCAAACCCGGTCTCCTGCATTTCAGACAGATTCTATACTACCTGAGCCACCAGGGGAGCCCAAATCTACTGTACTTCAAAAAATAAAAAAAAAGAACATTATAAAGAGAGAGAGAGAGAAGATGGCAGGTGAGAGGGCACCTAGGGGGTCACATCTAACTCTCTCCAGCTCAGCCACGAGCCCAACCACCCTGAGAGAGAAGCCATGGACTAGAAGGATTTGTTTGGAGACGGGGTATTATTCTGGGTGACCAAACAAATTCCAAATCAAACTGGGCATAGCATGATTTATGTCCTGTAGACCAGCTGTCATCTCCTTGTATGAAAGCAAGCATATCCTATGGGATTCTTAGAGAGCCTCAATATCCAGAGTTGCAATAATGTAAAACCTCCATAGCCGACAGGTAAGGCAGCAGAAACGATCCATGGAATAAAGATAAATGAATCATGAGGGAACTGCTTTCTTTTGCAGAACCTTGCCGCCTTGGGAACCTCAGCCATGAGTTGGATGGTCCTCAGAGACCTCTTGGGCGGCGTAAATGCATCCTCCACGGGGATTGGGCGGATCTGGCTGGCCGTCCTGTTCGTCTTCCGCTTGCTGGTCTACAAGGTGGCGGCGGAACACGTGTGGAAAGCGGAGCAGAGAGAGTTTGAGTGCAACGTTAGACAGCCCGGCTGTGCAAACGTGTGTTTTGACTACTTCTTCCCCATCTCCCAGGTCAGACTTTGGGCCTTACAACTGATCATGGTCTCCGCGCCATCACTGCTGGTGGTTCTACACGCAGCCTATCGCGCGGGCAGAGAGAAGCACAGGAGGAAACTCCGCGTCAGCCCAGGCACCGTGGGTGGGGGCCTGTGGCGCATCCACCGCATCAGCCTCGTGGTCAAAACGGGCTTTGAAATCGGCTTCCTGGCTTTATTCTACAAGCTGTACGGTGGCTTCCGCGTCCCCCGCCTTTTGAAGTGCGATCTGAAGCCCTGCCCCGGAACTGTGGACTGCTTCGTCTCCAGACCCACGGAGAAGACCGTCTTCACGCTCCTCCTGGCAGCGGCTTCGTGCCTGTGCGTTGTGTTGAACGTCACTGAACTGAGCTTTTTGGTCCTCAAGTGTTTGATTACGTGCTGCCTCCAAACACACTCTGCAAGGCTGCAGCCCTCCGCGCGTGAGCGCCACAGGCTCAGGGGCCCCGGCCCTGCTCCGGAAGCGCTGCTCAGACTGGCCGCCGGCACGGCCCGGGGAGGGGAAACCGCGCTCCGCCGCGACGCGCGAGGCGAAGCCAAGGCGAAGCCCGCGTCTCCGTCCCGCAAGACCTAGGCGTCCTTGGAAAACAGGGTGTGTCCACTCGAATGCCATCGGGGAGGAACTCTTAGATTTTCACGCTCGGCTGTATATACTAGACAGAGGTCGCATTGTTCGGTTGCAGGGTTCATGAGGCCACGTGAGTTGTGTTTGAATAGTTAACTGCAAATTAGTGTGCAGAAATCCAGCAACATTCTTCTCAGCGCTTAGATCTATCAACTAGAAACAAAAGTGACACTTCTGCCCGAAGTGACAGCCTCCAAGAACCGCGGAGGCCCTGGCCCTCTTTCCCAAGTCGCAGCCAAGGCCCCGGGCACTCAGCCTCGCCCAGTCTCTGCAGAAAGGCCGTGATGAGCGGGGAGCAGCGGCTGAGCCAGGAGCCCACAGGAGCACGTTCGGTGAGAAGGCTCAGCCCGAGCGAACAGCCACAGGGTCCGGGACACTTTGCAGTGTAGGTGTCTCTCGACAGAAGTGGACTCGGGGAAAGGGGCGGAGAAGGCAATGGCACCCACTCCAGTCCTCTCTCCTGGAGAATCCCACGGATGGAGGAGCCTGGTAGGCTGCAGTCCATGGGGTCGCTAAGACTCAGACACGACTGAGCGACTTCACTTTCACTTTTCACTTTCTTGCATTGGAGAAGGAAATGGCAACCCACTCCAGTGTTCTTGCCTGGAGTATCCCAGGATCCCATGGGCAGAGGAACCTGGCAGGCTACAGTCCTTGGGGCTGCGAAGAGTTGGACACGCCTGAGTATGCACACAAGGCAAGGCAACTTAAACACAAACATCCCTGGGGGACGGTCCACTGGAGCCTGAACTATCAGACATCCGCAAGGGTGCCGTAGTCACGAGGGAGACGGGCCCCACAGGGATGGGGAGCGGGGCCTAGAAAGAAAATACGCCCACCTGATAATCTCTGAACACTTGTCTTAAACCACAGAACACTGAACGATTTTGTACATTTCCACATCTACAGGCAGGAATTCACAAGGGTCATGGCTTGCCTACAGTTTGCTGGTACATTTCCCTCTAGGATAGATAGTAACAGTGTACTATGCTGTTACGTTAGTGTAAAAAAAATGTTAAAAAAAATGGTTATGTTTATTATTACTTGATTTGAAGACTGTTGCTTTACTTTCCTTTCTTTGGATTTAATACGGTAATACAAGTGCATTTCTTCAGAATAAAAATGAATTGACTTTGAGGTGTTACTTGACTGTCATTGATATCATTACTTGGCCACACTGGGCATGGTTATTCTGTGAAATAAAGCTTGTTCTGACAATTTTAGAATAGGATTTGCAACCCTGCCTGGTAAAGAGAGCTCAGAAATCATTCTTCTCCGCTGGGATTTTTTAAACAAAAAGTCAAGGCATAAAAATGCAATTTTAATAAAAACCAATTATGTCATGTCCGTGGCCTTCCCTCCTTTAACCTAAAATGTCTCGTTACAATTCACGTGTAACAAAGGCTGTGTCCTTATGTAGCCCACAGACCATGCCACCAACAATAGCTGTAATCTGTCTTAAAGACTTGTCTTGGAGGGCAGAGACGATGTAAACTTTGGGGTCCCCCTTCCTCCAGTTTATTCCACAGGTCACTGCTGGACTCAGGCACTTATATCCAGTATACTTCACCTGGTGATGTGAAAACAGGCAGCCGTCACAAACGCAGGTACCACTGAAAGACTTTATATGTGTGTATATCTCTGCAGTTAACAGAGTTTTAAGGTTTTGGAGGCCATGATCAGGGCATGAAATCTAGAAAATAGGGTTGTGTGTACAGAACTGGGAGGGAGTTCAGGGAGTTCTTCAGTCTGAGGATGAATTTGCTATCAAAATGTCTTCAGGGACCTCAGTCTCCTCACCTATGACAACAAGCTCTGCTCAAGCTAAAGGGTTGGAAGCATGTGGACATTTGTGCTTTTCCATTTTGCATACAGAGAAGAGTTGAAGCTAATGGAAGCAAAGGCCACGCATGAAGTTGTTTAGACAGAAAGGGGGATAATTTTTTTCTTTAAAGCTTAATTTACAAAATGAGTTCCCTATACACACATTCTGGAAGCTGTCTGAGTGTCAGTGAAGACTCAAAGCATTTGAGAGAAACTGGCAGTTAAATTTTGCCTTCTTTATTCTTTCTCTTATGGATACATTGATATTTATTGAGCAATAATTACTAGAAGCAAGACACTGAGTTGCCCGTCTTTAGAGATACATAATTCCCATCTCAAGAAAATTTCCGCTTCTATTAAGGGGGGTGGAGGCAAAAGTACCATGGAGTATTTCACACCTGTGTCCTGTATTTATTAATGCGTTACCTCACTTAGCCCCCTGCATGCTGCTGGTGCCCAGGAAGCAGACAGAGAAGAAAAGTGAGATCCCAAAACACAGTTGCCTTTTTCAGAGACACTCATCTAGTAAAAGCAGAGTTAAAAATCACCACAGGTCTCCCTTAGACAACCTGCTTACCACACCAGGCTTCCAGATCACTAAACAGATTTAATTCAAGCCATTCCCTGGTGGCTCAGATGGTGAAGATTCTGCCTATGATGCAGGAGATGTGGGTTCAATCCCTGGATCACGAAGATCCCCTGGAGAAGGGAATGGCTACCCACTCCAGTATTCTTGCCCGGGATAATCCCATGGACAGAGGAGCCTGGCAGGCTAGTCCATGGGGTCCCAAAGAGTTGGATGCAACTGAGCAACTAACACTTTTCACTTTCATTCTGGATTTGCAATGATTTTGTCTTCCTTGTACTTTTCCGCAAAAATCTTTCTAGTTACAGATTTTACCCCTGGCCACAGCGTTTCTTCTAATTGGAGCTGGACGGAAAAAAAAATTTTTTTTTCAAGTTCTTGGATGAAAGAATGCCTAGGCATGCAAGTGGTTATGGTTCCCATCTTTCCAAGGAAATTAAGCCAGCTTTCTTCAAACAGACTGCAGAGACTAGAGAGGAGGTGGGGGAAAGGCAAGGACCTGAGGATATTTGATTCTTCAATCCTGCTGTCCCTGACACTGGCTCCACCCTACTTTCTGCAGTTTACTTACATGGAAGGTAAGTCCCCATTTTTGTTTAAATTGGTTTAAATTAAGCTTCTGGATCTTGCAACTAAGAGTCCTAATAAAATTCATGTTCTTCAAAAATTTCTTCCCTATATACTAGAAAAAAGAGGTATGACTCCTATCAGCCTTTCCTTTTCAGGCTTCAAGCACTCTAACTTTGACACGTGTATGTATAGACTTTTTGTGTCAATAGGAAGAAAGAAGGGGAAGGATGTCAACACTCGTTACAATAAGAGGAAAGATGAACTTTTTCTTTATAAATCTTTTGTTTTGTATGTGCTTTTGCTTTTAAGTTTTTAATAAACAAGGCAACTGAAAACCCCAAAGTGCCCCATCTCAAAATTTTTCTAGCTCATATCCTATGACAGGTATGTGACACTTCCCGTAAACACTGATGTGAATTTACCCCTAGTTTACATTTTATATTTAGTATGACAGCATAAATGAGAGGCCATTTCACAGCACTGAAAACCTGGCGAGGAAAGAAAGCAGAGGTGGAGCCTGTGGAGACAAAAAGCATCAGCGTTCAGCTGAATTTTAATGACGAAGCCCAAGGGAGGTGTTCTGGGAGAGACCTGCCAGCAGCTCTTTCTTCAGTATGAATTTGGGTCTTCTCTCCAAAGCGCATCTTCCTTCAGCTATAAAAGGCATCAGTGATTGTGGTGAGTTCTAAGAATGTTCCACAGGAATATCCTGCCTGCCAAGCTCCTCTGCACAGGGAATTCTCCAGGCAAGAATACTGGAGTGGGTAGCCACTGCCTTCTCCGGGGGATCTTCCCGACCCAGGGGTCTCATCCCGGTCTCCCGCGCTGCAGGCGATTCTTTACCTTCTGAGCCAGCAGGGAAGTCCTTCTTGTGGCAGGGGGTCTAGTAAACAACTTTCCGACTCTGAGAAGACAAAGATGAGCTTTCAAAATTCTATAATGTACCCACATACTGCGTCTGAAGGCAAAGGGAAATGATTTCTTACGTGACCCAAGTCAGTCAACAGTCCCCCTACTTACAGGTGAAGTGTTAGATCCTTCCCCAGCTATGGAGATCTAATGTTCTATTAAAAGGAAAAAGAAAACATATTCAGATCAAAGTAATAGATGTAATTTCTGTCAACTTACTTTTATCTTAAAACTTTTTCCAGACACGAACGCCTCCTATCAGAGGAGAGATCGATAGGACAGCTATGGTGCAGAATTGAGGCAGAGGCCGCTCGTCTCTGCAGAGTGACAGCAAGTTGAAGAGGTGGACCGCAGGGTCCTGAGCCCTAGGAAAAGGCACTGTTCAAACGGCCGGGGAGTGAGGCAGAGGAGACACATTTTTAATTTTTAGTGAGCACAATGTCCACATTCTTGCTATAAAAATGTCATTAACTAAATTGATGATCATCAATCTCGTTACTAAAAGTAGTATGAATCATTAGGCTAGCCAAGTGACTTCAATTAAAAAGTATTTATCTCAAAGGAGAGTGAGTACAGTAACTCGAGACTTGACTCTCTGTAGATTAGCAAACCTGATAAGCCAATCTTCCTAGAGAAGATTGCTCCTCATCACATTAATTTGATGATATTAGAACTACGACTGTGACCAAGGTTGAGAGTCTTATCTTATTCATCTCTTCACATCTTTGTATTGCCACAGCTTTTTTAGGTCCATAGTCCCGAGAAGCGCAGTGTTTCTGGGGAAGAAAATGTGTTCCTCTTGCTTCTTCCATCTTTTATCTGTTTATTCCTCTCCACCTAAAAGAATTCTGATTTTGTTGGGGATGCCAATGCCCCCAGCTTAAAACAAAAAAGCACATCTCCAAGTCTCCTTTGCATGCAGAGTTAGCAGGGTGAGAACCTTCTTGTCGAAACAAGATATCGTGACTGATGCTTTGGGGAGAGTTAAAAAGTGGGGCTGAACCACCTTGCATGTTTTTTGTTCCCCATCCTCTTTCTGCCTGAGACACCATAGTTGGAGCTGTTTATGGACCTTATGGATAAAGGAGTAGAAAGATAGCTCCTGGGACAGTGATGACGCAATATGGAATCGCCATCAGCTGCACCACCTGTCTCTATGCTTTTTAAAATAATATTTTATTATTTATTTTGGCTGCTTGGGGTCTTGGTTGCAGCATGGCAGGTCTCTGTTGTAGCACATGGGCTCCAAAGTGTGGGCTTAGCTCCTCTGTGGCATGTGGGATCTTTTCCCGAGCATGGATCAAACCCACTTCCCTTGCATTGGAGGGCAGATTCTTAACCACTGGACCACCAGGGAAGTCCCTCCATGCTTTTATTTTTGTTGTTATGTGAGAAAGAACTTCCACCTGATGGAAGTCATTGACTTGTTAGCCTCTTTTATTTACAGACAAAAACAGTTCCTGACTACATTCACGTTAGTGATTAGGATGAAGACAGAGAAGGCATGCTTCCATCTACTGAAGGCAGAAGAATGACCAATATACGGAATGACAGAAATGAAACATGATAGGGACTGATTTTCCCAATGCCTGGAAGACAAGTTGCTTAGTTCATGTTCCGAGATTTGAGAACCAGGACCAGCAGGTGAACATCATAAAGATTTTTACCTAATATAGAAACATTCTATTGACTTGAACTGCCCGATATTTAAATGACTGCCTGATAAAGCAGTGAGATTCCTAAGTAGCACTGCAAGAGATGACCAAGAATAATGCTGGACTGAATGGGAAGTGTACCTAGAAGAGGCCAGTGTTTCCTGTGAGCTCCCCAAGGTCCAGACTGTGGTTCTTGCACCTAGAATATATATTGTGTGGATGCAGAGTTAGACATTGTACTGACTATATTACTATATAAACCTGATACCATAGAAAGATCTCCGATAATTGAGTGTCAACTTAAAAAAGAAATGGCATGTACAATAAGAAGACCCCCTTGTTATAACAAACAATTTATGTAGCTCCACAAAAATGATTATAAGATTTATCTTCTTTAAAATCATGGCTACATTATAGTGACATGTAAGGTAATCAATATTTTGTATTATTCCATTCTTCTTTTCTCCAGCTTGAGAAATTCTAATTTCATTTCAAAGCTTAGATCAAGTATTTCTACTAGGGAGCAAATTTTTGCTGTAAAATGGGGATAGATAATACCTATCTCATAGGGTCATTGAACAAATTAAATGACATGATCCACACAAAGCCTCAGCACATAGACGTTACTTTTTAAAATGTCAGATATTGTAATTACCACATGGCTTTATTATTTCACTTCTTCCTATATTATTTGCTTGTTTTCTTAACCCCACTCTGAATTAGAAGTATACTGAATGCAGGCGGGAGTCAAGGCCTTCATCATCATACCTTGAGGGCTTACTCCGTAGTAGTTGCTGGCATCAATTAATGTATTCATGAAATTCACAGCCTATCTACATTGTATAAACTAAAAAAAAATTATCGCATTCTGGAATCAGAGGAAATCTTAAAAATACTTACAAATGAGAAAATGACAACTCAGAATTATAAACTGACTTACCCAATGAATGTTAAATGAAATGACAGAGCAAGAATTTCATTTTTTAAAACTCCAAATCTAGCCTTCCAGAATCTTCCTGTACAAAGTTTCAAAGATCTTTGGAATACCGGTATTCCATGTAACAACCAACTGCGCTACATCCAGTTATTTTTTTTCTACTTTGTTAGGTAATGAGTTTTGATTTTGCTGATTCTGATTTTGTTGGGAAACGCAACATGCTCAGTTTAAAAGTCACATTTCCAAGTCTCCCTTGCATATACAGGAAGCACTAACTACCTTTTTATCAAAACAAGATTTTTTTGATTGGTGCTTTGGGAAAAGTTAAAGATATGCATAATCCATGCAAGGTGACTCTAGTCTGTTTCCATTGTAAACAGTGGCCTATTTATCCTAAAATGAATCAACAGCTAATCTATCATAGCCATCTCCCAATTTTTAAAACTGTTTCAAGTTATTCCAATCGTAAGTATTAAAAAATATAAATGACCACCACATATCAGCCCATGCCCTTTACAAAGTATAAATAATAAGAAATAAAAATGACAAAAGTGTAATTTCTTGCTCGATTTCTGGACCCTAACTACACACACGCTTTCCAGCGTCAGCTTGCCATCTTGTGGCCTCTCGCTCTGGTACAGCTGAGCGTCTGACTAGCACCCGTGGTGAGGCCCCTGGTGTCCATGACTCTGCATACGCACATCCACTTTAGATGTGTTTATTCGCATGTAAACGAGCGGCACCCAAGTTTCACCTCCAGACCAACTTCATTCCGGCAGGGGCTTACAAACTTTAAGTCAGAGAGAGAGGGGCTGGCAGCTAAACCTGCCCTGAGACACATGCACATAAACCATCCAAGTACCGATGGAACACGACATGCACACGTGGGTGCCGAAAAGGTGTGCGTGTAATTACCCTGGGAAGACAACACGAACATCGCCTCCAATAAAGATGGGAAAGCAAGGTGCTAACAGGATTTAAGTACAGATTTTCACCAAATCTAAAGGTGGCAAGGTCTCTCCTCCCCTTCTGACAGGATTATAAAACCTACTGCAAACACTGCAGTAGGTATACATACAAACCTGTGTGTACACGCACATATATACTGTTAAAACTGCTATATACATTCCCTTCAAGCAGTATTCTAGGGTTGGTAACCTCAGGAAGAACACACAGCTCTCCTGGAATAGATGAGTCTGGTGGTGACAGAAATAAAAACTCTGTGACAAATCCGTCCAACGCCAGCTTCTTCCTATGGTTGTGACTAAATGAGTGGACATCGTCAGGAGCTTTGGACTCAGGTGGCACTAGTGGTAAAGAATCTGTCTGCCAATGCAGGAGATGCAAGAGACAGGGGTTTGATCCCTGGGTTGGGAAGATTCCCTGGAGCAGGAAATGGCAACCCCACTCCAGTATTCTTGCCTGGGAAATCCTACGGGTGGAGGAGCCTGGTGGGATACAGCCCATGGGGCTGCAAAGAGCCAGACACTACTGGGCACCTCAGGAACTCAGAACAGTGTCTGACATGACTGTTTATTAAGCATTATCCACTGTCCACTTACAAAGAGCCAGACTTCAGTCCTGGGTTCCCAAGCCTGCCCCCCAGGATCTCTGAGCCCTGTGCTTCCAACTGCCGCGCCACTGAGCGCTTGATTCAAAGCATCATCAGACTTGAAAGCTCGGGTGGAGCACGTTGGCCCTTTGGGTCCCTGCTGTACTTCTGAGAAAAGCTGCCTGCATGTTATAGCCTGGTCAGTGTGAAGGAAAACACATGACCAGGCCGCAGTTTTAAAACAGAAGTTCAGATTTTCTCCTGTCAGGGATATAAGCTCAGAGAGGACAGCACAAGAGCAGTAACACCAGCTAAAAGCCCAACGACGACACACAACCATTATTCTGTGTTGAAAAGGCGCACACCGTTATCACACAGAACATTCTGGAGGCTTCCGATTGCCTCACTTCTAGCAGGGCAACTGTTGCCTTTCATTCTTCTGGCTCACCTACTCTGGCTGGAGGACTGGTGTGGGATCAAGGTTTTGTTGGAAGAAACGAGAGTTGCTTTAGTTTCTTGTTTTATACTGGTAACATGTAGACTACATTTTTTTCAAAAAACTATTTTTGAAGTGTAAGACACCATTGTATGCCATAGCATGTGACTTGAAAAGTTTGTATTACTAAAATAAGCATATTGCACTGCCTCCCACATTATCAACATGAACTTTCCATAAAACAAGGTTGCTAACTTTCCTATGGTGAATTACATTTAAAATTGTATAACTCAGGCTAGAATAGCACCCAACCACCATCACGGATTAGAGAATTTCCCTTTGAGGGCAGATGTACTTAAGAAAGAAACCTTGATATGCTCCAGTTTAAAGTAGCTATAAGTATCAACAGGTTTAATACATACATTAAGGATGCTTTTGAAATTTTCGAGTAAGGAAAGACAATGCGTTCCCCTGCTCAGTGGTTTTCTGGAGGGTTGGAGCAAACAAGCAAGAACTGCCAAAATGACTCAGTTGTTCGAACATCTGGGCTGTACTGATTACACAAGTGTTCTGGAAACATAAGACACTCTGTATAACCCCAATCCCCTTTCCATCCCGAAGTATCTAGGTGTTGAACACTGTGAAGCCTCTCTATAAAAGAAAGGACTAAGAATAATTCCTAAGTACTACTCCTGGTGTGACCTGCTCCTGAAGTTTGAAGCCCACCCTGTGTCCTTAAACCCCCTGCAACTTCAGCACCTTGCTGCTTCACGGGGGCCTCGGCACACGCGGGTTACTGTTACCGCCCTTACCTTCGGCTCCCCATCTGCAGCCTCTCCCGTGGAGCAGGGGCACTGCGGGGCCCAGGACTGGTGGCACTAAAACTCCAGGGGCAGGCAGGATGCGCGCTCTCTGGCTGCGCCCGTAGCTGTTCCGCGGAACACGCAAGCAGCTGGTAGCCAGGGCGGCAGTGAGCAGACCCCCGACTACAGCTCAAGCACGTGGCTTCCAGCATGTGCTAACTAGGGCAGAGCGTGAGACGGCCACTCCAGTCCCCGCGGCTCCTTCTCCCTCCTCTCTCAGCTTCTTTGGTTCCCAAGAGCAGACTTCTAATGCGGGGTCCTCCGCTCCTCCAGGTTCCCTACTTTCATGATCACTGCCACCTGTCACGGCTCTAGATTGGGTTCCAGAAAGGGTTTCCCCTCCTTTGGAATCACTATTAAACTACAGACCAAAAAATTTAGTAGGTGTGGGTCTTTAAAAGGGTGAAAGTGAAAGTTGTCCAGTCATGTCCAACTCTTTGTGACCCTAAGGAACTATATAGTCCTGGGAATGCTCCACGTCAGATCACTGGAGTGGGTAGCTGTTCCCTTCTCCAGGGGATCTTCCCAATCCAGGGATCAAAGCCAGGCCTCCCACATTGCAGGCAGATTCTTTACCAGCTGAGCCACCAGGGAAACCCTGAGAGTGTCATTTACAAATCATCTCCTAGTACTGATTCCTAACCATTTGGGGAAAATTCCCTCCAGCCAACAGGACAATTTTCACAGCATCATCTCCAGAGACACGGAGCAAGCTGGCAGGTCCTTTGCTGCCTGTGTGCCCCAAATCAAGGGATCCGCAAACTCTG